ACAGGTGCTCTCTACATGCAATTAACTACAACCAGCTGAACTACCGATGACATTAAACGTTTCCCGTTTAACATACTAAACATTAAAGAAACAAATACATACCAAACACGGTTAGAAAGGTTCCGCTTCGGGGGTTTTTCAGGCCTAGTTTTAGTCAAGCATCTTGACTTACTTCTCTTTAGAAAGTCAGAAAACCTCTCGGTGTAAACTCCACTCCCGGCACGAGAAATAAAACGTTTTTTTTTTTTTTATAACAGTCAAAAAAACGACAAAATGAACTCCCGGTCAGACAAAAAATATCTTAGTTCCAAATTGTTCGTTTGTCAGTGTGTTGTGTTGGTTCCCATCACCCCCTGGTTGTTGTCTCGTCTTTGTTACAGGCGGCGTTTAAGAGAGGAGCGGATGGGAGGGAGGAGAGGATCCTCCTGAGATTCCAACCGTCAAGCTCTGCGTAGTGACGTCCACGACTTCCGTTGGAGCTTTTCAAAATAAAGCAACGGCCTAAGAGACTACGGAAGTGGTTTCAAAATAAAATGTTTAGCAAATAAAATAAAAATAAAAATTGCTGTAGCCTGAAAATTTGGCCAGGGTAGGGACTAATGTGTATTGAGGGCACACGGGTAGATGCAAGTACAATTTGAGGGTCAATCTAGACTTAATCAACAGTGAAATAACCAAGCAAGACATCCATACATTCCAAACCAAACTACATTTTTGAAAATCCTTCACTAATATATAAATGCAGATCTTTATACATCATTGCTGTCTAAATGAAAGGTATAATGGGCATTCTTCTTTAAGCTTTGTGTTTTGGGGGAAATATCAGGGGCGGAGCTAGATGGGGGGCCAGGGGTGGCCATGGCCTTAGCCAATCATTAGCCACCCCTGTGGCCACCCCTACCATTTTTTTCCCCCTCTAAAGGTCAATTTATACTTCTGACACATAGTCTCTGCAATAGAGACTGACATTTTTTCGGGAATCCCACGGGTCACGGGATTCCCGTGTCACGTGATTGGGACGGTACAGGATTAAACATTAACGGGAGCAGACGGGGGCGGGAGCAAACCAATAATAACTAAAAAAAAAAACTAGGATCGATGCCAAAAAATAAAATAAAATAGAAAGAAAAAAAATCCAGTACTGGCACGGCGCCGCCATTATGTAGTTTTTTTCCTTGAAGCCTACACTATAATGCGAGTCAAAAAAAACTACACGACCCAAAAACCAACAGTGCTTCCGCTCTGAGTTTTTCACCCGCGCTCAAAAAAAATAATGGGAGTGGTGCAGGAGGGGGAGTCATTCTGAATGGGAGCGGGATGGGAGTGGGAGTAATTTCACCAGGAGTGGGACGGGACAGGATTTAGATTTCTACTCTGGCCCGGGATCGGGACGGGACACAATTTTTTTCTGTGTGAGTGGGACGGGACAGGAGTGAAAATCCATTCCCGTGTCAGTCTCTACTCTGCAACCATCTAATCTATCTCAGAGGTTCTGCAACCATCGTCACGCACCTAGAAAAAAATCCTGACTACGCGTCGGACGGTTGCAATCCAGCGCAGACCTCCAGCGAAAGTGCGCAGACAAAAAGCAGCTGTGATTGTTCCTTTGTATGCCTTTCCTGCTGTCTGTGTGGTTGTCCTTCTCGATTCAGTGCCGAGGCACGCCATTTTTAAAAACTGAGGAGTAATAACAGCAATGGATAACCGTGGCGAAAGGTTGATTGAGGAGGTTCGGAAGTACAACTACTTGAAGGATGCCTCAGACATGTTGTTTTGGAAAATTAACACTCCCACCAGCGCCGCCGAAGAAGTTCTGGTAATCATCTGATCACAAAGTTCCCCCTCCCCCTAACGCTTTGGCAGGAAACTGCTCTGCGTCCCTAGAAATTCCAGACCGACGTTGCAGAAGCATACCAGCAAAACTGGTTCGCGACCAGACGCAAGCGACATTTGATGTGTGCGATTGCAGAATTTTCCTGATGGAACAGTTTAGATTGACCGTGAGGTTCTCATGCCTATCCGCCTTCGGCCACCCCTCAGTCTACATTGGGTATTGCCTGGCCACCCTTATAAAAAAGTTCTGGTTACGCCTCTGGGAAAGATGTTATCTGTTGCTATTTCTTGATTACATTTAGAGAGAAATTGTCCTCCATACTTATCTGTTATGCCTAATATAAATATCTACACATTAACTCATTTTTACTAATACCTTAGTAAAATTGATTTAGTAGTTATTTATCCTTAATTACACTGAAAACTTCTAGATGACTTACAGAGACGTATATATCTTCTCTTCTACCCAGGGGGGAAAGTAAGCTGGAAAAGTCCAGTACTGAGTAACAGTAAAATATATATAGGGTATAGATGAATAGAGTATATTGGTCTAAATACAAAAAAACAAAAACAAAAAAACAACAACAAGTATTTTAACATGCATGCAGAGTGGCCACCCTTGCATGGTAAATGTAGATTGCAGGAAATTGCATATGTAGATTACAGGAAATCCAAATACTGTCTGCAGTCATTCACCTTCTGACAAATTCTTTGTTAACAATCTTATTATCAGAATTGTTCAGTATAAATTGCTGGCTGGATTCCTGACACAGAGCTGAGCATTCAGCACACATTTGACATTCCAGAAGGTTATTATCGACCAAAGGTGTTTCATTGTTAGCACTGAGTTATTTAAGTAAATGTAATCTAATAGTTTTAGGAGAAGGTTTACTGCAGCATACTTAAAAACAACAACAACAAATAAAAACTACTGTGAGTTTAGTATTGATATTATGAAGTATCACTGCTTTTTCTGGGGCAAATGTTTAGGGCCAATCTATCAACTGTGGGTACCTAAAGTGACTGAAAATCAAGCTTTTTTCAAAGACAGATATACTCCAGGTTGAATTCAAGGTTATGTTCAAATGAATATTGTTTTTCATACACAAGCTCATTTTCCTCAGATGGGCCTTCTATGACATTTTAATGTCAAGCTTACAGTAAACATAAGATATTGTCACAGGTGCTTTACTTTCTAACATGTATATGTTTCCTATTGCGGTTATTGTTTTCATAAGTTGAATGTTAAAACAAATGTGATTCTCAAAGGTGTTATTCATGGATGGATTTTTTTTTACATTATATTATTCATTTATATTACTATATATATATATATATATATATATATATATATATATATATATATATATATATATATATATATATATATATATATATATATATATATATATATATATATATGTATTATAGTATTATTTGTTTTCTAGTACTTGGGTCTTACTGAAGTTTTTTTTTTTTTCTTACCTCAGTAATTTTTTGAATTAGTCTTTTTTTACTTTGAAAATAAAACAAAACTGAAATTAAAAAAAGGATGAATAAGTTTTACCTGAGTATACATTTTAGGTATACCATACCCACCTCTTGTATCAATAATGTTGTACATTCTAAAACATATAAGATATTGCCCAAGCTGGTAACACCACACCGAACACCATGAGAATTAGAAGGAACTTTCACGTTACTTTTTTTTTTTTTTACTTCATATTGTTGTATTGCCATAACGACTGCGCACTTAACTTGTTTCCCTTTCAACAGTATCTTGTTTGCTACTCCCATCTAGTGTCTTAAAGTAGAACATACACTGAATGAAAAAGCATCTCAATATATTAAGTTCAACTGTTCCACTGATTTTATCTCTAAAATTGTACAAGTAAAAATCTTTTGCAGCTTTGATTTGCATGGCCTAGAAAATTGTAACCTTTAAATACTTATCATGTTGTAATCATTCAGACATCATTCCAAACAGCATCCATTTTTATTTTTTTATTTTATTTAAGTCATTTGATCATGGATCTTTGGTAGTTAATAAAAAATTTCGTACAATACATTGGGTTAATATTTTTTGTTTTAACCGGTGTGTTTCTTATATGACGAAACAAAGCAAACGGAAACAGAAGCTTATTTTACGCATGGATTTCATACATAATTTTGACTTATTTTTTTTATAGAATTGACTCCTATAGCATCCAGTATTTTTAAATGAAAACTAATTTGATATGATGTATCAGAAACTATTATGAGATTTCATTGTAGGTTCAAGACCAAATTTAATGTTGGGGTCAGCGTGTTTTTGTGACAGAAAAACATAAAAAACAGGGTAATAGGTTATCATATTATACAAAATATATTAGAGAGCCACAGAGCTACTTGTGGCTTCGCAATTAATAAAGTGAAATTTTCACAGCTTTTAATTTATTTACCTTAAATTTAAAGAAATCCCTCACCATGGAAAAAGCAACTTATAGCTTTTAAATTAATATATACTTAAAGATTAAATTAAGCCAGTCTTTATAATATTATGTCAATGTACATTTATAATTCAGGAATATTAGATATTTTTTAGTTATTCAAATTAAAATTCCAAGTTATAATACAATCAGAATTAGAACTTAAGTAAAACTGGTCATTCCAGATGTAAAAAGTTTTTTTTTTTGGTTAAAAAATAACATTTATCAGATGAATCTGTGATCAATTTCAAAAACTGCTGAAGTCAATGCCTTTATTTTAAAATCACAATTAAAATACACACACACAAAAAAAAATAAAAATAAAATGAGAATATATGAGATTTATCTTTTTGAATAATCTGCTCCACTGTAGTATTTCACCTTGTTCAATATTTAATATGTATATTTTTGGGTCCAGGATATATATGTTGTTTATATATATAGTAATCTGCCATTGTCCTGAAAGGCTGTTGTAGAAAGGCATTTTTTCAATGAACTGATCAATTGTTTAACCACTGAAGAGTGCGCAGGCAGGCATGATGAATGTGAAATGGAAAAGGACGCTGATTTTATGTTTTACAGTGTTTCATATCTCCACCTCATTGTTCTAATGTGGATAGCCGGTTAAACGTCTCTGTTTCTGTGCTGTATTAATGTAAAGAAAAGCACATCTGTTTAATTTAACTGGGCTGCTCTTGCTGCGCAGAGATACTGCGGCATTCGCTCTCTACGCGGCGGTCGCAGAGCCCGCTTGTCGTATCCCTCCGCGGGCAGAGGAAGTGCTCGTAGACCAATCACGTTTGTGTTTACACCGACACCTGTCAAACACTTTCTGCTATATTTCTCTCTGAAAGGTAGGGCTTCTCTATTTATTTTCAGTCGTGTATTTCACACAAATTTGAGCAAAATGCACCAAGCCTGGATGTAGTTATGGCTGGCAAATAAACCGGCTCGTTTGTTTTGGATGAGGATGAGGGGATAGCGAGGTCCGGAGCTAGCTAGCCGGAGCTGAAGCTGGTTATCTGTCCTCGCGAGGCTTGTTGTTTTATGTTTATTGTGTTTTTTTCTGACTGTCTAAAATCCTTATGAGCATTTGTTCTATCGCTGAGGCCGGTTCAGTGCCGTGCATATCCGCATAGCGGATTGAAATCATTAGCCAGGGTTTCACCATGTTAGCGAGGTTAGCCGAGTGGCTAACGGTCCAATCAAGCAGATGCAGACTTCAGGTGCGCTGAGCTGCTCAGTCAGGATTAACGGTTCTTCTTCATCCGGAGGGAACTGATAGCACCATGCTACTAATGCTACCAAATCACCAAAATATTTGTCCCTTTCGCTTTCCTTATACTTTGTTTTTCGTTTTGTAACGCATCCAGTAAATCATTACCTACAATCAATATCTTCGTTATTTTTATGCAATTGCAAATAAAAATCGAGTTATTTTTAAAGTGCAGTACTTATCTAGAAATCCATAGAGCCCCGGACTGATTAATAAAACCTATAAATGTGTTTGCCTTTGACCTGCATCTTTTACATACCAATAGCAATGGGCATTACAGTGTAATATAGCTTTTATTCATAGCAAGCTTTTTGTTTTAGCAATTAGAAGCTGCACTTTGAAGCCCAGCTGTCCAATATTTTTTATGCTTTGAAAAAATGTTTTCTGTAAAGTACAGACAAATATATATTATTAAAATGTCCTTATTAAATTATTACATTTTTGAAAGGTTTTCACACACCAATATTCAGTACCCTGTAAAGGGTAAAAGTTTCTATACCCCTTTGATTGTTTTCAAGCCTCGCAGCATATTCTTTATTGAATCTGGGGAATATTCACCTTTTGAAAGCTCAATTATCCTCTTATTTTATCAACTTCTTCCCCCCTATTGAAGGACTGCAGTTTGATTGTGTTTAATGGCTGACTAGACTTCCTAAGGGTATGATGCTCATTTTGACCCTGCCTGTTGGATCGCCAAGTTTTCATGCGTTGCAGTTGTTCCCCTCTTTGGAAGATCTATTACAAAAGCCTTTAGACCAGGCATCCTCAAAGTCGGTGCTCCAGGGCCACAGTCCTGCAGGTTTTAGAGGTTTCTCTGCTCCAACACAGCTGATTTACATTGATAGCTGATTAACAGGTTTTTGCTGAACTGCAATCATCAGAATCAGCTGTGCTGAAGCAGAGAAACCTCTAAAACCTGCAGGACTGCGGCCCGACTTTGGGAATGCCTGCTTTAGACTGTTGCTTGATCTTGTGTTTATAACCTAATTCCTGCTTCAGGGAATCGGGGTTCTCCACAATTTAAGATTCTGTACATTTCCTCTGTGCTTTTTAGGCTGCACCGAGTGATTGCAGGTTTCTGACCAATCTGCAGTGGTGTCAAAAGTGCACACATTTGTTACTAGAAGTATAGATACTGCAGTTTAAAAACACTGGTAAAAGTTGAAGTATCAACTTGACCTCTTTACTCAATTAAAAGCGAAAAAGTATGTGCTCCAAAAACTACCTAAAGTATAAAGTAACGTTTATAAAAAAAAACAGCCAGATGATACTAGATTAATTGAAAGCTAAATTTTTCGACTATTTTGAAAATTTCTTTGAGATAGGACCAAGGATGAGGGAGGTCTTGTTGGTCTCGCATGTGTCCAACCTTTCAGACATTTCGACATCTTTTTGTTAATCCAATATTGTAGCATGGCATAGACAATTCACATTTGCAGTTTGAAGAACCCCTGCTTGCTTCTGATGGTTTCTTTAGCTAACCAATGAGTGTTTACGTTATATGACTCATCCAGTTACACTAGTTTTCACTAAATGTGGATGGAGCCAATGATCTGCATTGGATGGCGCACATGACGTGAAATAAATATTTATAAACATTAAACCGAAGAAGAGAGTAACGAGTAGCTTTAGTTTTAAAAATGTAAGGAATAGAAAGTACAGATACTTGTGTGAAAATGTAATGAGTAGAAGTCAGAAGTAGGAAGAAAAATAGGTAATGGAGTAAAGTATAGATACACAATAGGTGTACTTAAGTAATGTAACAAAGTATTTATACTTCGTTACTTGACACCTTTGTCGATCGGCGATTCCCATTCTTTTGAAAGCCTGACATGTAGAATTCGATTGTGATCAAATCAGATTTTTTTTTTTTGTTACCGACACTGTCAGTTGTTATAACATCTCAAGACACCTTCAATATTTCAATCGTATCTTACTGAAAGGCATCAATAACTGCCTGAGAGATGATAAAAGCGTCAGAAATTACCGCTCTCAAATATAAATTAAAGTTTAGAGCTTTGATTTTCGGACCTTTGCAAATGTAAATAAGATCTGTGGAAAAGAACAGATAGACATTTAAGTATTGGCCAATCACCGATCGCCCAAACCTAAGGAAACCGAGGCTGATCTATCGGTGCACCCCTACTCCTTAGACATCTAATGCTTAATCATCAAACATCCAAGGCTTTCAGAGAACAGCTGATACTGAATTACACCCTGATTAACTGGGTTGCTGATCAGGTAACTTCTTCAGGCAAGTTGCTCTGGATTTTAGAGGCTTTTAGAGGCTTTTTTTCCTAAAAGTTTTCATCATTTTTATTTATTTTTGCATAATTGAACTGACAGGAAATGGGGTTGATGGAGAGTTGAGAAGAAATGCTTTAGGGTCAATGGGCCGCCACTTGAACCTGTGAGGGCCGTGTCATGGACTGAGACATCTGCTGGTCGATTTTTTTTAGGAGTTGTTTTGCGTGTGTGTGCCATTCCTGGTATTTGCATGCAATCAAGTGGATGATGTCAACTTCATGTGTTTACCTTTTCCTTACCTTTTTTATCAACCTCTAAGAGATTATTTAAATCTGGAAAGAAGTCACATATTCAATAATTAACCATTTTGTGAGTCTGATTCTTACTGTCAAAGCTCCAATAGCTTTCAAATATTATTACACACATGTATCAAATGAAGTCCAAAGTTAAATATTTCTTTTAGGATTATCTTAGTTGGATGCATCTTGTTTCATTTGCAATGTTGGGAAATAATTGCTGCATAAACCACCTCTCGTCCACAATCTCAAAACTCCAGATGTGAAGAAATCCATCTGTTTGAGAATATGAGCATGAAAAGGCACCAAAATAATATTATGACTGTGGAAAACATCACAAGTAGAAACATGAGAGGTTCCTCATGGAGAGTTTTAAAGGCAGATGTCCTAATCTAAAGCATAACACTGTTTTTTTTAGTTTTGTTTGTTTGTCCAGTCTGTGTTTGCAGGTGTTTTATTGGATAAAGGTTCCTCTTTTTTTACAGCACAGTTTCAGGTTCTGCAAGAAGTAATGCAAATAGTTGTTGATATTTTCCTAAAATAATTACCATCGGCTTTAATTAGAGACTGCAAACGTTTTGAAGCAGCTGATGTAATTTTCTCTGCTCAGATTGCAGATATTAATATTTTAGTTTAAGCCTGAGAGAAACTGCTGCTGTTTGAGGTTCTGTGAGGTTGAAGATGAGCGTTTCCAGGCCTCCTATTTAATCCTCTTTGAACCACTCGGGTCAAATGTGTTTGCTTTTTGCGACAGGTTTTCTGTCTAGAAACTGCTTCCCGGTCCTCTGTGTCATTTAGGGAGGCTGTCAGATGAGACGCAGCTCAGCATCTATCATGCCGAGTAGACGCATGGAGAAACTTTATCCTTGCGGAGGAAATTACCCAGGCTTGACTGAAGCAGGGTTGGTGCCTTTTCATGTGCATCGGCATCCACAGATTCCTCTGGAGAAAAATTTAGCATAAGAGTCAATATGTTATTGATTCATAATAACTGTTCAGGAAATGCAGTGACGGCAGGTACTGTTTCTGCCATTTTTGAAATGGCTATGCTTCAGTGGAAAGTATAAAATCTATATTTCAAAAATTGACCAGCCAAATGCATTTAGTGTTTTCGTGTTAAACTGTTAATTTAAACTATGTGCAACCACACTGTAAAAACTGGGTAATAACTGGGCAAAAACTGCAAGTATATTCCTTTTCAATCAACCTTTCCATTGTAAATACAAAAAAAAAAACATGATTGTCATACAGAGACTGAGATTTGTTTATTTTCTTTTTCTTTTTTTTTTTGCTTTATAGTTCAGGTTCAGTAAGATTGGATATAAATCCGATTTTAATCCTCATTTTTTTAAAGTGATGTTGCAGATTTTCACTTGGATTTAGATCTTGATTTTGTGCTACGCTAACATACACTAACATGCTTTAGCTCAACCCCGGTCCTCAGTTAATTGCAGTTCCTTGCAGGTTTTCTTCAGTATTGCCCTGTGTTGATTAGTCCCATACATCTTCCAACCATTTTTGATCAGCTTACTAGTTTCTGTAAAAAAATAAAAAATCGCCACCTCAAGATGTTGCCACCACCATGTTTCATCAGGAATTGCTGCATTTAGGATTTTTTCTTTATAATTCTGCATATAAGCCGAAAAGCAATCTTCCGGGTTGCTTTCTGTCCTGCATTACTTCTGTAAACGCATGAACCAGGACGTCCATGTTTTGTTTTTATTTACGTTATATAATAAAGCCCAGATGCGTGGAGTCCAGAACTAATATTCAGGGTGTCAAAAAAAATTCCCCAACCTGATCTGTGGGCGTCTGTAGCTCCTCCAGAGTGAGGAGTCAAGGTTGAACCGCATTAGGGATGAAACAATTCATCTGATTAATTCATTGATTTATTAAGTTAATCATCAATATATTTCATAATTGAATCATTAGCTAGAGTAATGGTACACAGACTTTTAAAACGGGAAGATTTTCCGTTTTAGAATGCATTTTTTTTATACATATCATTATATGTATATGTTCATATATTGTATATTTTTGCCTTATAAAATGCATAATATTAGAACTGTTTTCTACATTTCTTAAGTTTATTTATGAAGAAATAAGGAGCTTTGAGGAGCTTCCTATGTGTTTTTTTAAATTTAAAATACAAACAAAAACAGCAGGTAGCAAGTATCCAAATGTATGCCATGTTTTCTAGGTCTTTATTGATCAAATATTGTGTAATAAACATGCATAGTTTGTTTTCCATGATATTAGAATGTTGTCTGATATCCATTATTTTCCAACTTACCTCTCCGATAGTGGAGATTAGGGCTGCAACTAACGATTATTTTGCAAATCAATGAATCTGTAGATTATGTTGTTCGATTCATTGATTAATAATCAGATAGCAAAAGGTTCCTCAAAGAAGATTTTTTAAGGAATAAAACTAGGTGAAACAAAAACTTTTCGACTTGAGGGGTTCTGGAAAGTGCGTGTTGACAGACAAAAAAGTTATTTATCTTAATTGCAAAATGTTTGCATATTTTATTTACAATTTTTGTATAAATATTGCTCTAAGTGGGTTGCTCTGTCAGCTAAAGACATGTTTTAGAGTCTCTATACTCCAGTTAACGACTAATCAGTTACAAAATTAGTTGACGATTATTTCAATAAACAATTAGTCCGATTAATTGTTTTAATACCTATATTTTATTTGTTAAATGTATTAACAGAAATTAATTTTCTCCTTGTGTCCAGTAGAGTCTTTGTAATTAGAAATCCGGCTGTCTGTCTTTGAAACGTTAAAAAAGTCGGACATTGGTATGTTATATTTAATGAAGCGATGATGTTTATTTTTAAAGGTAAAATTGGAGAATAAGGATAACTTTTATGCATCCCTAATTAGTCAATCTTTCACATAAAATCCAACAAATTGAGGTTTGTGATTCCAGTGTGAAGGAAAAGTGCAAAGGTTAAATGAGGATGAACCTTTATGCAAGGCTGTGTATATGTGGAGATTGGGGGGGGATCAGACAAGAAAAAAGTTAAGAGTTGTTGCAGTGCAGTATTTTGCAGCATCGCCCCCCACCCCCCCGAACATTTCCGGGGTTTGTGTTTGTTGAAATCACAGAGGAGGGCTGAAGCAAATGATGAAGGAAGGAGGAGAGCGAATATCATCTCCAGCCAGTGTGAGGTGCAGTGCAGTGTGGCCGTTCAGCTCATGCTGAAGCTCCACCTGATATACGGTGTTCACTTTCAGCCTCTTTGTTTTTCCTCCCCCCCTGTGCACGCAGGAGCTAAAACACACACTCACACTGAAGCGCCTTCGGTAGCCGCTAACTGGACGGACTCTCTGGCAATTGACCTTTTGCAGGTAAGCCTGCGTCGGCTCGGTGGTTTATACTAGAACTGACACAGCTTTAACTCACTGGCTACTTCATCGCTTCATCTCTGCATGCTTGTTTTTTGTTAAAATGTTGTTGCATTTTCAGTTTTACGTCCTTTAATGTATTTTTCTAAATATGCCAGTTTTTATTTCTAATAAAAGCTGAGGATAAGTACATGTGTCAGATGCTGGGTCGAAATGGGAAAGAAAGCGATTGTGGAGCTTTGCTGCGGCGGCATGTTGAAGGATTTGCATGTTTTCAAAAGAAGAATGCATGCTGCACAATTTGTTGGAAGATTTTAGTGGAGAAAAGAATATGCTCAAGTTCAGCTTTTAAAGTTGGATTCAAAAGATAGATAAAATGAATTCAATGCAGTGCTTTGTTCTGTTTAACTTTAAATCTGTCAATTATGGCACATTTACATGATCATTGAAGGAAGTTTTTTTGTGCTTATGTTGACTGCACCTTTAAAAATGAATGATTTGCACTATATGTTTTACTGCATTTTGTTTTTCCTGCATGAAGTCTATAGCCAATAATTGTGAATCACTGTCTCTAGATCAGCAGGCCGCATGTGCACACGGAAACAGTTTTTTCACGTGCAGCCTTGAACCTCCTTAAGGAGAACAGGAGTGCAGGTAGTGACCGCGCATCACAAGAATGTCGGCAGCCCTTGTTTTTAGCCGCAGATGCACCTTGTCGCCTTGTGATTACCCCTCCGTCCCTGAGGCAGAGAGAGGGTAGGGTATTTATCTGAGGCGTGTAGAAGTGCTAATTGGAGGATCTCAGGTGGAGAAGCTGTCACAGAGGGGAAGGGGGGGAGGGGGGATGTTCTGGGGTTTTGGGTAAAGCAGTCCTCAGGGTGAGCACCCATCAGGGACGGGAGGGGGAGGAGGCGAGTCGTTCTTCGAAATAAACCTTTTGCTCTCATTCATACCTGTTGTACCATAACGTTGTGTTTGTTTTTAGTGGAAAAGTGGAATAAGTCTTAAACCATGAGCTCAGTGGCTGTGTTGACCCCGGAGAGCTTTGCCGAGCATCGCAGTGGTCTCAAAGACCAGGAGATAACAGGTAACAATAGAAGAATCTGTTGCATCCTTTGAGGATTTCTCCTCTCATCTTCTGCTAAGAGCTTTGTATTCTAGTTTTTACCCCCTCCATCTCCTTGCTTACTGTTTTCATTTTGGCCTCACTGGGCCAGGTTGCGTCCCGGAGGATGAGGCCTACATTCCCACCTATCTGGAGGCCTTCCCTCCGCTGCCGGAGAAAGGGACTCCGGGGGAAAAAACCGGGGAGCCAGCATCGGCATGGGGGAGCAAGATCCGCCCCATCAAGGCCTCTGTTATCACCCAGGTGAGGATTTCAGCGTGAAGCACACAGAGATTCTGATGAACCCCTGCTGTTAGCACTAGTCTAATGAAACATGAATCTGCCTCCGCTAAGGTGTTCCACGTCCCCCTGGAGGAGCGGCGTTATAAGGACAACAGCCAGTTTGGGGAAGGAGAGGAAGCCAAGGTGTGTCTGGACATCATGCAGAGGACTGGAGCGCACATTGAGCTGTCCCTGGCTAAGGACCAGGGCTTATCCATCATGGTTACCGGCAAACTGGATTCAGTTATGAAAGCTCGCAAGGAAATCGTGGCCCGTCTGCAGACGCAGGTAAACCCACAAATTAAAGGCATGCACCGAATGCCTGCAGCGCAGACTCCAGGTCCAGGCCACATTTTCTTAATTAGATTTAGGTCCGGGCTTTGACTAGGCCATTCTAACACATGAACGTGCTTTTATCTAAACCAGTGGTCTGCAACCTTTAAAATCTGAAGAGTTCAGTATTTAAGGCATAGTATAGAGCCTTAAATACTACATAACCTTTTAATAAAACACAGCTTTTGATTTTTGTTAAATACATGCTATATTTTAGGCTTTAAGATTAAGGAAAAACACAATGTTTCAATGTTTCAATCATTTAGGTTTTAAAAGCCCTATTTAAGGTTCTGAGGCTGTTGTTTGTTATTATGCTACATTAGCTGGTTCTTTATATAATTTTCACCCCAATTAAGAGCCATTTACATCAGGTTACAGACCCCTGATCTAAACCATATTGTGGTGTTTCTGGTCCTGCAGAAATACCTCACTCCTCTTTCTTTTCTTCTTGGTTGGCTCTGCCTCTTGACTTCATCCACCTTTGCACCATCTCTGACCTGCTTCCTTCCACAGAAGGACATTCCCACAGCATGATGCTGCATTTCTTGTGTTTTATAAGTGTACTTTTGATATATCCCAACCTGAACACCTTCTTCTTGTTATTTGGACTATCATATATATATTATAAACACACTCCCTACTAGCTGTGTGTTAGAATAACAAATGAAAGTGTGAATCGAGCTCAAATCATGGTCAAACAGATAATTCTGAACGTATACGGAAGAAATTCACCATAAACTTCCATTCAAAATATAAGTATTTATTAACAAAACTCATTCAGCTCTGCGTCAGTGGTTGAAAACCACAATAAATGAGCTGATGCAGTGATATCACAGTTTAGCTGGACCTTGTGTTTGAAAACTAATGATTCATCTTGAAGACTTTGGGATGTGATCAAATTAGCTTTTTAATAATTTAGAGAATTTGGAATGTTTTCAACCAGTTCAAAACGCAAATCCATGAGGTGAATAAAACATTATTTGGTCAAATAATGTTTTATTAAATGATTTGCTTAATCAGGAACCAGTAACTTTTAGTTAAATGATTCCTTACCATCTTTGAAATAGCTAGCATAAAATAGACATAAGGATTCCATTAAATGACTTCTGGTCATACTTGGTCATGGAAATGTAATGAGCAAATGAGGAGCACATGAACACTAATGTTATGTCTGTGTTTAAACCCTTAGTGAAATAAAGCTTGTCCAAGCTTCAACAACAGCTCAAAACATTTTGCTGTAGCATAGCATGCAGGCCATCCTGTTAGCTTTGTCTTTACTCATCATTAAACAAATGAAATTATCCAAATTACATAACTCTGCCAGACCTTATACCTCTGCCAATGTCCATTTTGCACAGAGGGCGGTTTTCCTTTGTCCCACATGGCTCACACTAAGGGAAAAGCTGCTTTAGGTGGCTTTCACCTCCACTCTGACTCTTTAAGTTCTGGAACTCAGAGAAGTGTGTTGCAAATATTCTGTTTTGCAGCAGTTTGGTTATGAAATGTCAGCCATCATGACTTAGCCTTGGTCATTCTGGAGATCTTGACCCTGGGACTGGGTCTCCATGGTGGTTTCCTCTTCCAAAGTGAACCCCCGTGCAGCTTCACGGAAAGAGAGAGAAATCTTGTATGCTGTGGTTTATACTGTTCTCAGCTCCATGGGGGGTGTCCTGTGGAGGAAGTTGGCTGAGAGGGGGGTTGCAAAGCAGAGAAGAGATGTCTCACAGCTGTTTTATTAGGAAAATTGCATCCTCTTCTCCAGTGATCATGTGAAGATGTTCAAAACAAGGATTATCAATAGTGGTGCACTGATCAATCAGCTGGCTGTGATTTCCTTGATTTCAGGCGATCAGCCAAGACTTGTATTACAAGTCGATCTTTTCTGCCTCTCCCAAGTTCTGAAAATCAGCCATGTTGAAGCTCTGAGCTTTTATTTATATCTGAGTGTGTTACCTCAGGTAAAGTCAAAGTAAGTTTGTATTGTCTCACAGTTATTTTTACAATGTTTTTTAAATCAAACCATATATTGGTGTGAGTTATGAAACAAAATCAGTCCCGGCAGGTCAGGCTTTTCAAAGATCTATGCTCCCCTGTTTTCAGTTTGGTTTCGAATGGCTCCAGATCGCTGGCAGCCCAATGCAGAAGAGAACCATAAATGTGAATAAGAATTACAAGTAAGGAAAAAAAAAAATATTTGGCAAGTTTGTATGACACAACCATTGCAACAGCAAGTTCTATAACTCTGCACTCCTTCTAGTTTCATTATTCAATGTACTGCGTTGCTATGGTTGAAGGCTGTGGCTCTAGAAGGGAAAGAGGTGATCATTCAATAGAGGAGATGGTGCAGCTTGTGTGTTTTCAACTGGGGGTTGTTTTATTTTCCTGAATGAAATCAATTCATCCTGGCAAACCTTTTTTCTAGATTGTCTGTTTTTTTTTTACTTGGAGCAGCAGCAGTGTCCTAGTTGGCCAGATGGCAAGTTATTATTTATAAAGGGAGAGGTGAAACAGAACTGACCCACCTGACAGATTTTTAAGCTTTTATTTTAATGAAATAAATATAAACAAATGAGACTGGATTTTATTGCCTTATAGCAATACAATTTTTTCTTGAATTAAGGTGAATGAGACTCTTTGCAAATAGAATAAAACAAACTGCAGTCTCTTATTTCAAGTAGATAATATGCATTTTATCTTATTTTAAGGGTAAAAAAAATACAAATTCCCCTAGCAGATAATCTTATTTACCTGCTCAAATTTAGAAGAAATACAATTATTTTAAGAAATTTTAACTTTTTTTTTTTTGTTTGTTTTTGTGTGTCTTGAACATGAATCCTCCTGGATTTCTTTTGTTTTCATTGTTCTTTTAAAATGGATCAGGATTTTGAAATTCACTTGAAAACATGGCAATGATGTCCTCCCCCTCTCTCCACTCTTAGCTGTTAAAATGTACCATTCCTGCTTTTTATACTTTTAGATTCAGGTTGTCCTGAAGTCCTGTGTCTGTTTCTGACATGCAATCCGGCCACATCAAAAACACTGATGGATTTTCTAAGCCCTTAAACCTTGACAGTCTCTCATTCAGACACTAAGTATTAGCAAATGAGAGAAACAAAAACAACAATAAAAAAAGACATCCCCCATCTCTGCAGGTCGGTTGTCTACGGATTAAAGGTGGAGCTAAAAACACTGACCGTCAGGTCCTGGGGATGGCGGCCCTTTCAAGGCTCCTGCAGCAAATATGCTGCTTTCTATTTCTGCTGTTGCATTAAAGTTCAGCCGTTTAGCTGAGCTGTGGTTACTGAGACCAAGATGCAAGGAAACATTTTGTCCTCTTTGCTCACTCTGTTCACTGATCAGTTGTTGAGTTTTATTTAATGCTAATCCACCATAAAAGTTTTCATTTTAATCTCCTTTATTTTGTTGTAAAACGGCATTTATTTAGCTCCCTTTTCCTGTTGTTTCTGCAGGCGTCAGCTACGGTCGCCATTCCCAAGGAGCACCACCGTTTTGTAATCGGTAAGAATGGTGAAAAGCTGCAGGAGCTGGAGCTGAAGACCGCCACCAAGATCGCTATTCCACGACCCGACGACCCCAGCGCCAACATCCGCATCACCGGCACCAAGGAGGGCATCGAGAAGGCTCGCCATGAGATCCTGCTGATCTCAGCAGAGCAGGTCAGTGGGAGGGAAAGTTGGATTCATAAAAGCGGTTCTAGATCTCAATGGTTGCAGCTGGTCAGATGAGTCCATTTCTTCCTATGAGAGGCTATTTTAACAGGATTTCTATGGAGACTGGAAACGTCTGGAATTTTATCGAAGTATTTTGTTGAAGTTCCAGACTTTTGATCTTTGTTTCTCACTGGACCTCTAGGACAAGCGCGCCGTGGAACGCCTTTCTCTAGAGAAAGCTTTCCACCCCTTCATCGCCGGCGCCCACAACAGGCTGGTGCAGGAGCTGAGCCAGGAGACAGGCGCCCGCATCAGCATCCCACCACCGAGCCTGCCTAAGGACGAGATCGTCATCACCGGAGAGAAGGAGGCCGTCGCTCTGGCTGTCAACCGCATCCGAGCCATCTATGAAGACAAGGTGAGCGGCCAAACTTTGCTCAACTGTACCTCTGTGGTGAGGTGATCAGTCATCCATTATGGAGAGGAAGATATTGTAGATGATGGATGGGGCAGAGGGGAAGTGAAGAGAAAAACAGTTCCTTATGCTTCCCGATGTTTACTTGTTTTTTTTTTTTCTTTTTCTGATCCACAGAAGAGGAAGACCACAACCATCTCTGTGGAGGTGAAGAAGTCCCAGCACAAGTACATCATCGGTCCAAAGGGCAACACTCTGCAGGAGATCCTGGAGACCACCGGGGTGTCGGTGGAGATGCCTCCTCTGGACTCTGCTTCAGAGACCATCATCCTCAGAGGGGAGCCCGACAAACTGGGACCGGCCCTTACACAGGTCTACGCCAAGGTCAGAGCAGTAACACAAATTTCTTTGGCTAGTTTTCAACTAGCCAGTTTTCAACTAAATAATAATACTGCTAGCAAAGCTAACTGGGATAAGATAGATTATAGACTTTTTAAAGTGTTAAAATAATTTTTCAAAGCCGTTAAAAACCCAGTTAAACAGTAGTGGTTCTGTTGGTTGTTAGGACCTTGTTTAATCTGGTGCCGTACCTACAGGCTAAGAGTGTGATGGTGGTGGAGGTCAGCGCTCCAGCTTGGCTCCATCGCTTCATCATCGGAAAGAAAGGGCAGAACATCGGACGCATCACGCAGCAGCTACCGCGGGTAAGGAGCCCCCATTCTCTGACCGGTTTAACATTTTATGCAGTGGTTCAGAAACTTTTCTTGGTGGGCCTCCTTTTAATTTAAAAGAATGTTTTTCAACCCCACCTTCTCAATTGATCTTTTTCCAACAGTTTAACAAAGAAAGTTCAGTAAAATAAATGTCTTAAAAATCACAAAACTTTTCTATAACGTACTGAAGCAGATCCACTGGTTTAATGCAAGGCGGTGCTGTAGAGCAAGGTCTTACACTGGGTCACCTCTGCTCACAGGTTCACATCGAGTTCACAGACGGCGAGGAGAGAATCAGTCTGGAGGGGCCGACAGAGGAGGTGGAGCAGGCTCAGGCTCAGATACAAGAGATCATCAAGGACCTGGTTAGTGATCCCACCAAATCGAACAAACAGACTTTATGCAATCCTGTTTCAGTTGGTTAATACTTTTCAAAAGTTATACCTGTCTTATTATTGTGGTCACATCCAGAGAGAGAAGATTTTATCATTGTCTATTTATTAGTTTTTTATGAAACCTACTTGAAATAAGGAATCTGAAGACAAAAAAGAAACTAACATTTAAAAGGGTCAAAAGTGAGCCCTTCGTATTAGTTCTCGATGGGGGCTAAAAGGGTCCAGAGACCCCTTAGGACTTCTGCTAGCCCCTGCACTGCAAAAACTGATCTAAAGGTACCGGTAAGTAAATGGGTATAAACTAAGTGCATTTTTTCCCTTGATTTAAACAGTTAAGACAATTTGATGAACATTTGATATCTTGTTTTATGTGTCTATTATTTAGTTCCCCAACTTAGGTTTTTTCATATCGCTACTATGAACTGATTAATATTATGGAGGCTACAGTTGTCTGTCAAATATGAAACATTTTTAAAGTGCAATTTAAGATCAACTTCATAAGATATTTAAAAAATTGTGGCTTTAAACGCCAGTATTTCCATTAGTAATAAGTTGTATTTCTTTATGAAAATCTAGGAAAATCAACGCCATGCTACTGAAAAGATAAAAAAGATACAATTATTTACAGAGTAAAAAACGATGTTATCTTCATGTCTGTTTGCTTTCCAGCTGGTGAGGATGGACTATACTGAGGTCAACATCGATCAGCGCTTCCACAGACACCTCATTGGGAAGAACGGAGCCCACAGTGAGGAGCTTGATCTCTTTTTGTTTTCTAAATAATTTTGCTAAACAAAACTAAAATCATTCCTACAGATTAATTACTTTGTTGTTTCAAGTATTTTTATTTTCAGTTATCTGAGGTGATTGTGGTTTAGAGCTAATGTATCCAGTATTGTTTTAGGGCTCCTTTTGCTCGAGTTACTTGGTGGCAGCCTGAGGAGATGATCAGTCCTTTCATTAGCTGGTTGTTTCTGGTTCAGGAGTGGATGAAGGTGACCGTTACAGATATAGTCAGTAGATATGGATCCTTCTTTATGTTGTGGGTGTTGAAGCACTGACTATAAGTTTAGTAGAATCTTAACTTTTCAAAGGGGTTTACCTGCTGAACCAGAACGAGGTCATCTCGGTTGATTATAAAGCTACCATGTAACTTTATTGATACCAGAATGAAAACGGTACAAACCTAAACATTAACAGAAACTCCCAGCGGCTCTCTGAGCTTGATTAAAAGAGAAAAATACATTAATAAGTATGACCTATTTAATATCCCCAAGACACAAGAGCATGCTACAAGTGACATTATAGATAGAAATATATAAAATAGGGAACAGTTAATGAGTGCTAGAATAAATAGAAGAGCATTAATATTTATTTAATAGAGAAAGAATTGCAGGAGCAAAACTATTGTTGTAGTGAGTGGTCCTAACTCACAGGACACTGAACCTCTGTCCAGAGGAAAGCTGCAGGAACTCACTATCTGGTGTACAGCGAATGTAAACACAGCTCTGACTCCCCAATAAGACTACCAAACCATTAAATGATCTGGTTCAGTGAGTTCCTTTCTTTCAGGGTCAGATTTACAAACTATGACACGAGTGAAAGGGTTAAAACTGACTCAATGAAGGCCCGATTAAAAAAAATAAAGTGTCATCAAGATCCTACCAATATGGAAACAACAGTAGTCCTTTTTCCACTATTGTGTTTTGATAAAGCCCTCAAAGAAACAACCAGTTTGTTCAGCAATGAGCTGTTTTCTGGCTTACCGTCTTTAAAACAACCTTTCTACTTGAAATTTATTTAATGTTTTTTTTTTTTTTGTAGCTTCACTTGGGGTTTTCATTACCTGCAATCAATGGTTACATAAATAACAGACTGGGATCTATCCCACTGTGTGCAATGAATACCTGTGTGACAAGTTTTACATTTATTACTGAAACACCAAAGTTAAACTTTAAGGGCTACCTGTATAGCAGTGTTAATAATGTAGGTCACAGTAGCAGGCAGGATCAAACAATAAGCAGCAGCGATACTGATTCATCTGTTGCAAATGTGATGTCATAAATGATCTGAGTTTTATTGTCGCATATATATTTAGTTATGTTTCCTCTCCTTGATCCGACTTCCAGGCTAGAGAAGAGATCAGATTCATTTCTTTATATTTTTTCATGGCTTTTATCTTTTATTCTCCCTGCAGTCAATCGGATCAAGGAGCAGTACAAAGTTTCGGTGAGAATCCCACAGGACTCTGAGAGGAGCAACCTGGTTCGCATCGAAGGAGACCCCAAAGGAGTGCAGATGGCGCGCAGGGAGCTCATCGAGATGGTCCAGAGGATGGTGAGAGCGGCTCAAAGGCGTAGGTTGGTTTCCATTGGTTTGAACAGAAACTAAAGAGAGAGCTTCATGTTTCCAGGAAAATGAGCGCACCAAAGACATGATAGTGGAGCAGAGATTTCATCGGACAATCATTGGACAGAAAGGGGAGAAGATCAAGGAGGTTCGGGATAAGTTTCCTGAGGTGAGATTCCCCTCTTAACTGGCAGATCGTCTCACTTTCATGTTCACCTCTTTAACTTTGCTCCCACTTGATTTCAATCTTAGGTCATTATAACGTTTCCTGACCCATCGCAGAAAAGCGACATTGTCCAACTGAGAGGGCCGAAGAACGAGGTGGAGAAATGTGCTAAATTCCTTCAGAAAATCATTGCAGACCTGGTACGAACCCCCCCCCCCCCGCCTTTCTGAACCCTCCTCCTGCCAATGCCGCAGCCTCACTAACTCTCTTAACTTTCAGATTGAGAACAGCTTCTCGCTTTCCGTCCCCATCTTCAAGCAGTTTCACAAGAACATCATTGGAAAGGGCGGCGCCAACATCAAAAAGGTGAAAACGAAGCAGATCAGGTATGATGAATAAATGTCTCACATACGGCGTAAACAAACCGGGGTGTGTGTTTATTCCGTAAGATCCGCGAGGAAACCAACACTAAGATCGACCTGCCGACGGAGAACAGCAACTCTGAGATGATCATCATCACGGGGAAGAAGAGTAACTGTGAGGCTGCCAGAGATCGAGTCCTGGCCATCCAGAGAGACCTGGTGAGACCATAAACACAGCCTCAAGCAGCAGTTATTTTAACAATGAACTAAACATAATATTTGCCTTAGTCTGGCTTCAAAGTGTGAAAGACAAGAGAACATCTTAAAGTAGGCAAAATGTGTCAATTTAAAGCAAAGGCCTTAACAGGGCTGGATTATCTCCATCACAAACAGCAGAGGATGGTGGTTGAGATGAGATTATGCCAAAAGTTCAATTAGAGAACTTCCATTGTTTTCTACTGGAAAATAAAAAAATATAGCTACTTTACCTGAAAGCCTGAGAGACATATTTTTAATCGTCTTTATTTGCCCATTCATTCATCCTGTCCGCTGAACTGCTGCTAGTTTTACTCACATGCCTGTAAGATGTCTAGTGCTACTACCACAGATGATCTCGCTCTCCAAATGGAATTTAATGATTCAGATTAGCTAGCCGAATGAATAGAAGGAGTAGAGCCCGCCCGTGGCCCGGGCTGCCTGTCACAACTCCAGTCTGCCGCGCGGATGACGTCATACACTCGCCGCTTTGTTTTTAAATCATATAAATATAAAAAATATAACCGCGGATGTCTGGGGAACAGTGATTCGCCTACATGTCATGAATGCTGGCGTACCATAAAGAATAAATTATGAACAGTTTAGTTTGTGCCTTCAAGTCGTTGCCCATAGGAAGACGTTACTTCGATATAACCTAACGGAATATCTTTAGAACAGCTTTAAATGACACAAAACTCATATGGATGAGTAGAACATGATGTAATAACGTAAAATCAAGGGCCAGATGTAAAAAAACGGCGTTCCTCTTTAAAGAAAAAAGCGGCAATGATGCGTGTTATTCAGAAATTTAGTAAGGATAGGTGGAATCCTGTCACAGTGTGGGTCAGTTAGCGCCATAGCACAACATGCATTCAGGAAGCTTTCATATTCTGGTGAGACATCAAAACAGAGGACCTCATCAACACAAAAATGGATCAACAGACACAAAATCCCCCCTCCATCCACGGCGTCCAGTGGAAGAGCTGTGGGGTGAACCAGATCAGACGCAGGACTTTGGAGGAACAAAGGAGCGATCAAACAGATCTTGCTCTCCAGCTCATAACCTTTGGTTGGAAAGTTAGAATACAAGATTTAATTTCTGATTGTGGCCTCTGACTCTCAAAATTGTTGCTGTTTTTCTAATCAAAGCATCTTAGATTATTCTTTCAATTTAAAAGATAAATGGCTTTAAAGCTTTCATTCTCAAAACTGGACTTTTTATATCATTATTATTACAGGTGTGGGCTTTGATTTATAGCGATCATCATCCTGATAAATTTCTCGTCATGATAATAATTTGATTTAATTGCCTGAACAACAAATTAGTGATGATTTAAAAAAAATTATTAATCGTTAATTTTACTTATAGTATTTTTCTCCTTTTAGTTAACAAATTCAAAGAATACGATTAAATCCAGTAATTATGGGATATTTAGTGATACAAATTACACCTAGGTCAGTTATTATAAAAAAAAAATAAAAATAAAATAAATAATAATGAGGGGGAGAGGGACCTAGTGGTTAGGGCATCGTGCTTGAAATCCAGAGGTTTTGAGTTCAAGCCCGCTCCCACAGACTGCCACTCTGGCTCCCTGAGCAAGACCCTTAACCCCACACTGCTTCTCGTGAGCCACACAATGGCAGCCCACTGCTCCCAAAGGGAATGGGTTAAATGCAGGTAAAATGAGGTAAAATTCTCATCAATAAAGATTAATTATTAATATAATTTATTTAAATTGTGTCCTAAAGAGGCCTATTTTAATGTGTATATTATTTTAAGACTAGTGATTGTGACAGACATACACATCCCTAAGAACGACTTGTAAGAATGAATGAAAAGGGCTTTTTATCTGCAATTTTATTGTTATCATGATAGTACCCACAAAATATCATGATAGGGTTTTAAATTCCTAGCTCTAAGTTAATTTAACTTAAATTTAACTTCACTGCAAGCTGTGAAGTTAAATGTGATGTTTTGGAATTATATTAAATGAAACGTACATAGGAAGTTTTTGTTTTCCTTTCCAAGTTTCTTAGAATTACACAAAATCCTTCCAAATAATTATAAATGAATAGATGAACTTAAAGCGAATCATGATTTATGAAGCAGCTGTTCAGAGGCTTCGAGCTCCAGAAGCCTCATAGATCCTATGTTCTGCAGTATTTGTGTTTAATATTGTGGAAGCAGTAGGAACAGAAGGGTTTTAATCTATGTTCTCATCCTTTAGTTCTAACAGTTTATCATTTTAAATCTGTTATTTTAGGCCAACATTAAGGAGACAGAGGTCACCATCCCAGCCAAGCTGCACAACTCTCTGATTGGTTCCAAAGGCTGCCTGGTGCGCTCCATCATGGAGGACTGCGGTGGCGTCCACATCCACTTCCCCTCTGAGGGCTCCGGCTCAGACAAGGTCACCATCAGGGGGCCAGCTGGCGAAGTGGAGAAGGCCAAGAAACAGCTGCTGCAGCTGGCGGAGGAGAAGGTCTGTGCAGACATAAGGCATATAATATAATGTAAAAAATGCTGGCTGGTTTCAGACAGAAGAACTGAATTAATCACTCTGTTGTTTTCTCGCTTCCCATCCAGCAAGTGAACAACTTCACCGTCGATCTTCAAGCCAAGCCAGAGTACCACAAGTTCCTGATTGGAAGAGGCGGAGCCAACATCCGCCGTGTCCGGGACAAGACAGGGGCCAGGATCATCTTCCCGTCGCCTGACGACTCTGAGCAGGAGCTGATCACCATCGTTGGGAAGGAGGAGGCTGTACGCCAGGCCCAGAGAGAGCTGGAAATCCTGGTCAAAAACCTGGTAACCGTTTCCCTAATCCCTCTGCTCAACTTCATTCATGGTACAACTTCAGCATAAACATTTTCCCCTCTTTGACAAATTTGACTACGTTTCCAAAGCTTCAACCCGTTCGGAGCCTCCTTTCTTTTCCTCGCCCCCTCCTCTCACTGCCCTCTCCTTTTGCAAACTTCCAGGATGACGTGGTGGAGGACAGCATGGAGGTGGACGTTCGGCACCATCGCCACTTTGTTTGTCGCCGCGGTCAGGTCCTGAGGGAGCTGGCGGAGGAGTATGGTGGCGTAGCTGTCAGCTTCCCGCGCACTGGATCGAACAGCCAGAAGGTCACTCTAAAGGGAGCGAAGGACTGTGTGGAGGCGGCAAAGAAGCGAATACAGGAGATCATCGAGGACCTGGTAGGTCACTGGAAAGATTCAAACCGTTTTTATTGGACAATTTTGCAGAAATGTTTTTACAGTAAGAATTCATGCTAAAAGGTAACAGAAGTTGTTGCAATATTCCATTATAATGTAGGCGACACCGCAGACCTGTGTTTTTAGCGTTGAGCTTTTAATTCCAACATTAAAACACGGTGATGGCTACATCATGCTGGGGGTTTATGGAAAGATGGACAGAGATGAATACAAGACACTCCTGAAAGGCTGAAAAAGTCCTTTGGCGGAGATTCACCTTCAAATCAGATTGAAGCATAATTCATGTGCTAGAACGGCCTAGTTAAACTTTGGAAGAGTGACATGATTTTAAACTGATCTGTGTCTTGGAGTTGGACTATTAAAAGGAATAGCTTCTATAATTAGCTTGTTTTTCTCTCTCTTGTTGTGCGGCAGGAGTCGCAGGTGAGCGTGGAGGTGGCCGTCCCCCAGCGACACCACCGCGCCATCATGGGGCCCAAAGGCAGCCGCATCCAGCACATCACCAGGGAGCATGAAGTCCAAATCAAGTTCCCCGAGAGAGACGACAGCGCTGCAGGTTAGAGAAACAGTCTCTCTAGCTGCTGGTGTTCTCTAGTGTTGTTGTTTTGTTTTTTTATTCAAGTTTTTATTTTATTTTACAACTTTTAACATGAATACTATAACTGCAGTAGTCATTTAACTTGCAACCTAACATATTTTATGGGCCCGTAACATATTTAAAAACCAAAACAAAAGCCTGTACAAAACAATAATACAAAATTCAAAAAAGGAAGAAATAAAAACATTAACATTTTATCCCAGTCGTATTTATAATTAGTCAACAATCTGAACCCAGGATTCATTAGCAGTATTATAGTCATCATTTATTCCAGGAAACATTTTTTCATATGAAACTATTTTAAATGTATTCTGTTTCCACCTTTAAGCTCAGGAGGAGACTCTCAGAATTAGCCTTGCTGGTGTAATTACCCACTTTAACATCCACATACTCTGATTTTTTTTACTCCCTGAATCACAGATTTATATCCCAACAAAAATAACCTTGTTACTTTGCCAATCCATGTAGCAAGGTGATCTATTACTTGCACCCAGAAAGGGTAGATCTTATTGCATTCCCAGACAGCGTGTATAAATGTTTCCGTGGTTGATTGACATTTCAGGCAGTTACCATTTTTCATAATTCTCCTTCTTTGAACTTTAGAGGGGGTTAGATACCACCTGTGTATGTATTAATACTGAATACTGTGTTTACATTTATTAATAACATATCCCCTTTTGCCTCCTTTACAAATTTATAAGAATCTAATAATATTCTATCCCATTCCACCTTATTTCTGTAACACCCCAAACCATTTTACCAAATAATTCTTAGGTTTTCATTTGTGCCTTTTCTTAAGTTATTAATCAGTTTGTATAAAACTGCTGCCCTATGTCCTCCAATGGACATTTTACAGAAGTCCACAACTGGATTCTCTAGTGTTGTTTGTTAAATCAGGTTCATCCGAACCAGAGAATAAATGTTTTTTTTTATGTTTTTTTTTATGTTTTTTTAAAAAGAATAAATGCTGTTCTGATCGGCTCTCTGTGCTAAAATCAGGTCAGGACAACTTGCCGCAGGAGAACGGTGACGTCAGCCCAGAGGCGGAGTTTGTCCCTCGCAAGTGTGACATCATCACGATCTCTGGACGGGCAGAGAGGTGTGAGCTGGCCAAAGCGGCGCTGCTGGTGAGTACAGTTTGGTAAACAAGTGAAGCGCTGCCTGACCACGCTAATTCTGTTTCTAAATTTTGCAGGCGTTGGTGCCCATAACGGAGGATGTGGAAGTGTCTTACGACTTGCACCGCTACATCATCGGCCAGAAAGGCAGTGGAATCAGGAAGCTGATGGAGGAATATGAGGTTAGCAGAAACACAAAGCACAGGCAGGTTCTGGATCACAGATTAGGCTGAAAGGGGGAGCGTCATGAGCTTCTTTACATACAGGTTAACATTTGGGTGCCGCAGCCTGAAAAACAGCTGGACGTGATCAAGGTGACGGGCCTGGCTGCCAACGTGGAGCGTGCCAAACTGGGCCTCCTGGAGAGGGTCAAAGAGCTTCAGGCTGAGCAGGAGGACAGGGTAATCACTTTTATCAGCTTTTCTGTGTCTGACAACAACTGTCTGGTAGAAATGAGGCTAGGAACAGGCTCTCTGGAAACAAGGTTTCACCAATCTACCTATTGATTTCAGGTCAGACTGAAGCTTTAATCATTTTCCTCTTTAATTCCACCATAATGCTGCCACCTCCATGCCTTTGACTTATTACAGTTATTAGGTCTGGTCTAAAAGCTCAACATTTGTAAAGACTCTGTTTACTGGGAGGCAATCAGCAGTTCCTTAAGGATAGATGCTGAAAACGTCAATGTTAAACTGGCTGCTTTTAATGTTTTGATGTTCTGGAAAAAAATTTTAAGTGTGGAACATGTTGCTTTTTCCATGCTATGTTTTTTTCTTTCTTTATTATCTAAAACTAGCTAGGGCTGCATAAATGCAACGGATTACAATGTTTTAATGAAACAGGCGTCTTTAAATTTATCAAAGACGCTTATCAAAGTCATCAGTTGTAATTCTCTTCCTTAGTAATTTAATGTTATCCAATTGCAGAATCTGCAGCTTTATAAAAAAATTTATAATTACTAAGGCTGGGCGATATAGAAAAGAAGCTTATCGATTAAAAAAAATGCATATTGATCGATATCGATAATTATTGAAAAGATATTAAACCATATTTTATGTGCAGCTCTGCCTGGACTTTTTATAATATTGCTAAATGAGTTAATTTTAATAAAAAACACAAACACAGACTTCGAATTAAATCTTTATTTAACCAACTTTTATAACAGAATTGTTTTAAAGAAAAATAACTTAAGAGACCTGGGTTATGTTATTAAATACTGACAAAGAATAAACTAAAGTGACCAGAAAAGTGACCAAAATAAATATAACAAATACATAAATGCCCCCCCACCGCCGCCCCCGTTTCCTGCTTTAACCTGAGTTATTACTTTGAAGTTTCTGGCCCCTCAGCATTTTTCTCTCAATTGTTAGAACTACGTGGGAAACTGCCCAGAACTGAAAATATATATATTTTCCCGAAATTCCCGAAGATTCCTCAGAGGAGAGCCGCGCCGGGGATTACACAGCTCGTACTCCTGCGGGTGTGAGCGGCTGAGATGAAAAAAAAAAAAAAGTTGGTTATGTTATCAGACTTCGTTTTCACTGGTTCCCTACACATTTTACAGATGACTGTGGTTTGTTTTTTGTCCGACTTGCCATGACCGAAATACTTCCAAACTGGCGAACTACAAAAACCCTTCTTTGAAACAATTTCCTCCGACTCTCCTTGCTGCACATCTTCATGTGCTCTGTGTTGTGGTTTGAGAGGGCGGCGCTTTGTGACGGTGTGCCAGGGTCAGCGATTGTGATTGGTTGGGAGGAAGCAGTGACTAGCATAAACCTACATGCTAGGCTACAATGAAAAGGAAGGAAAACTGCGTTTCTTTTTTATCGAACTTTTATTGACCCTCTTTTTTTCTATTGCGCCACATGTCTATCGATCGATATATATCGTTATTGAATTATCGCCCAGCCCTAATAATTACTCCTTTATAGTATGACCCCCCAATCCTGTCAGCTAATTAACAAACAAAGGCAATTATTGCCAAATAAATCTTTAGCTAATAATAATAAAACAAAACTTTTTCTTCTAAGGAATCCATATTTTCTCCAGGATTCTGGTTTTCTTTACTACAGTAACAGTCAATAAGGCTCGTATTATAGATGGCTAGTAAATAGTTTACAGATATGTTATTAATAAATGTAAACACAAGTAGTTATTATGCACATATTATGGGTGTACAGGAGGGAAAACTGAGCAGTTTCTAGTCTAATACTGAGCCTAATCTGTTATTTTTTTAAGTTCAACATTTCAGACTAAGATACTACATCATTAGTACAGCACGCATTTTCAAAATACATTTTTTTTGCTGCATAATTCGTAAAATCCATAATAAACAGTTATAAATGAGTTATAAACGGTTTATAACATATTTATAAACTGTTTATTGGCTTCTATAAGGGGGGACCCAGCTTAATTTATGCATGGCATGTCCACGAGGTCAGCACAACTAAACAACGTCATTTTAGCTTCCACTAGGACAGACAAAACTGCGTACCTTGGAAAATATTTAACCTCAAAGCCAGCTCTGTGTGGGGAAAAAAACTTGGACGAGCGACCTTTCCTTCCAGCGAGGGTTAATAAATATAAACATCTGGAGAAATCTTGGTATGTCGTCCATATCTCACTGTGAGATATGGGCGCAGTGGAAAACACGGCTGTGGTTTGCTGTCACCACAGTTGGCCAGAATATTAGGTACAAGGATGCGTCTCAGTTTCCGTAGGTCAGTTATGTTTAACTGGTCCTTTATTGCGCTTAAATGCCGATTTATTTAGATTTCCTTTTAAATTGTAAAAGTCGGTCCAGACCTTTGCCTCCAGAAGTCTCTCTCAGTGCATGCTGAACTGCTATCCTCTCTAAGTTCCCTGGAATCTCCTTTCATTAGTATTTTTAGTCAGTCAAATCATTTTAATGTTAAAGTAGAACGTCCATCATCAGTCGATCATGTCAGCCATTGAGGAGTTAAAAGGCTCTGGCCTCATCAGGTTAGGAGGTTTTACTATCTTCTGCAACACAAATTAAAGCTTCAGCTGAGACTGTAGGGATAGTTTTACACACAATTCACCTCTAATTGGTCCCAGATTAATCTAACATCGATCCCAATGAGATGGGCATTTAGTCTTAAAAGCACATGTTGGGTCTGTCATCGGAAGAGGTTTTTTTTTTTTTATAGCAGTCGGGATAATCATTGCCTAGACTAGTTGATTCCAAAAAAAGTTAAAAACAATCCACTGGATTTTGTTTTCCAAGTTTGAAGACATTTTGCTTCCCATCCAGGAAGCTTTTTTTTTTTATTTCTAAATGTCAGAATTAGCATTGAGCAACAAGCTTTATAGAATAGCCAAAACAAAGCCTTATTTTGGCTTAAAAAACATACAAATTGAACCAGAAGAACAGGTCCGCCCCTTAGGAATGGGGTTGAGGTCGTTGTTAGCCTGCAACCGCAGGTTTAAAGAGCATCTTTGATGTTTTTCTGTTCTTTGTAGACTAGTTGATGTATACCTTGGTTGCTCTTTTCTGTGAAGTAAGGATGAAATCTCCGTCTCCTCTCAGGCCCTGCGCAGTTTTAAGGTCACCATGTCTGTAGATCCTAAGTTTCATCCCAAGATCATCGGGCGAAAAGGGGCGGTCATCTCTCAGATCAGGAAGGACCATGACGTCAGCATCCAGTTCCCAGACAAAGGAGACGAGCAGCAGGTCTGTGTGGCTTTTATGTTGACCCCCCCACCCCCCACCTTGGCTCCAGCTCCTCCTCTATCATCCTCGTCTCTCCAGGATCTGATCGTGATCTCCGGGTACGAGCGGAACGTGGAGGAGGCCCGCCAGGCCATTCAGCAGCTGGTGTCAGAGCTGCAGGAGATGGTGAGCCAGGACGTGCACCTGGATCCGAGGACTCACGCCCGCATCATTGGCGCCCGCGGAAAAGCCATCCGCAAGCTGATGGAGGAGTTTAAGGTGAGTGACGATGGAGAGCCAGGACGGGTGAGCAAAAACCTACTCCGACCTCTATGATCAAACCACCCTGTTCTTTTCCAGGTGGATATCCGGTTCCCTCAGCCAGGCTCTGATGAGCCCGACAAGGTGACGGTTACAGGCCTTCCTGACTCTGTGGACGCAGCCATAGATCACCTCCTCAATCTGGAGGAGGAATATGTGAGTTTTCAAGTTGGGAAGGATGGACTCTAGAGGTTAAGATCAGACAAATGTATTATTAACTAAGTAACTGTAGCTGTAGAGTTAACCGACTGTCAGATACTTCTGCTACTGCCTGTTAACAAACTGTGCCTTCTTTACCCACTCCACCTCTGGATTCTCCCAGCTACTCAGTGTGACAGAGACAGAGACCTTGGCGGCGTACATGAAGCCTCCGTCTCGCTATGGAGGAGGAGGTGGAGCAGGAGGACTGGATGACGGCAGCGGGGGTCCGGCTAAGGGCTTTGTGGTGCGGGACGCCCCCTGGAACGCAGCAGGGAACAAGGTGGGTGGTCGTGGAGAATGCTTCTGAACACCTGCGTGAATGTGCTTGGATGATGGAGGGTTTTCGGATGTATATGGTTTGTTTTGATTCTCTGAACACTGCTTAAAACTCTTCCACATTTTATGTAAAAGTTTTTACCAAGAGATTCTGGCTGCAGACCTGCAGAATTGGGTCTCCTGCACTGTCGAGACCAGAAGTTTATTCCAGAAGTTGTATTTGTATTTGAAGCCCTCAGCAATAGCACTTGAAATTATTATGCAGTAAAAATCCTCATAGGACAGCCAACCTCCATTGTCATTTAGAAGACGTCTTTTAGACCAAATGCCCTTTCCATCCAGCGATCCAAATACAGAGACTTATTTATATGTAGCAGATATCTGTTATTCCAGTTAGAAGTTTGGTGGGGAGTAAAATTGTTCATGTACCAACGTTTCGAGCATTACAACTCTTGTTTGTGAAAGGAAGCTAGCTTCACGGGGAGTTTATCGACACTAGATTTTACTTTGAGAAACCTTCCAATAATTTTCGCTTTTACTTTGAAAGTCTTCATATAAACCTCTGGTTCTAATAGCACCAGAGGCCACACAGTGAATCTCTGCAGCCAGCGCAGCTCTGGGTCCCGACAGCAGCGCAGCTCTGCAGCTGCTGATAGAGCACCCAGATCCCTCTCGTTTTTACAGGGATTTGAAGAATCGGATTGGGGTGCACTGATTTATCGGGCAGCCGATCGATTGGCCTTGATTTTCCTAATTTTGGAAGCTCGTCAAATACTTAGATGTGAAACCAATCTTTTCGAAGCATGCTGTGCTCAAGGAACGCTTAGCAGCAAAACTGGATCTCAAAAGAAATTTGGTGCATGCAAGTGGTAGATATAGATGTACTTTTGCCATCTTCTGGCCGCTTTTGGTATTGGATTTTCAAAAGTCAAATTTAGTCTTCAATCACTGTATGGATGTCTGCATCTAAAAAAAAAAAAAAACTGTCACCATATCCATCCCGAAAACAAAACGGGGAAAATGACAGAGAGCGTCTCAGACAAAGAGCAGGCAGAGAGCTCAACGTAGAGGAGCAGACAGAAATAATCTCTCTCTATAAACCGATGATTCCTCCAGCCTGTCTATCCCTGGTATATAAACCTGTACAGATAACACTTTGGGTGTGTTTGTTTGTTTTTTTGTTTTTAGGCTCCTGATATGAGCAGCGCTGAGGATTTCCCCACGTTCGGCTCCGGCGTGGCCCCGAAGCAAACGTCCGCTTGGGGACCCAAGAAATTCTGAAGAAAAAAAAAAAGACGACAAGACAACCTTTGTACAGTAGAGTAGGAGAGGCGGAATACATTTTAAGTCCACTTGCTGCTCGCCTTTCCCCCATTTTACTCCTCATCTCTCTAGTGTCTCCCCCTCTCTCAACCAGCCAGAGTGAATTCTGGGAGAGTGAGTCCTATTTGTCTCCCTTAATGTAGTTCATTCCACTGCTCCGTCCTTGAAAACAAGGAGGGGGGATACTGTCGTCATAATTTAGCTTACCTTAAACATTTCACAGACAGTAATACTCTGCTCCCTCTAAGACCGCCAAATACCCCCCCCCCCCCCCACCCGCTGAAATCCTGTTTCAGATCCTCAGAGAAAAGAGGTTACCTCACACTTCCTAAGCAGGACCTTTTTCAGGAATTTGAGCACTTCATCCTGTTAAAAAAGGTTAAATGTTGGATTTTTAACCTTAAATCTAGAGTAAAAGGAAGTCTGTTTTTTAGCGTGGAAAAAGTTTTTAACCTAAAAATGTTTTCATTTTTCTTTTTTCTATAGTTTGTAACTTGCTGAATAATGTGCTGCAGCCAGTGAAGCCCCTGTCATACCTTAACGATTTAGCCAGCGTATGCCTGAAGTTCCGGAATCTTCTTAAATGCTGGCATATGCTGAACTTTCTAAGTATTTATTTAAATTTTGGGCGTATACATAGAGTATTCATAACAAGTCCAGATCTTATGTCCAATGACAGCCTAACTTATGCATAACGCACAGCAGCGTAATGCCCATGAAATGTCACAAGCCAGCGTCCTGAGGGGGGCAGCGATTCGCCAGATGTGCCCGGCCTGCATAAAATGATGTCTTTTGATTGCGGGATTAATCTAGCTGCAGTTTAAAGCTCACCAAAACAATAAATACATAAAAAGAAATAAAGGTTTGAATTTGCAGCAGATTCAGCTGCATGCCTGCTAGGAAGTTTTTTGGTCATGAGCGTGACCGCAGGGAGGATTCATCACCTTCAGGCTCACCCTATGATGGGGATAAAGTCTGGAGAAGTACAGATGGTTTCCCCCTGTGAACCCCTTTTATACCACAACACTGCTAATACGCCATTATAGAGTAGCTGTAAGTTAGAAACACGTTCAGTGGTCGTCTGGAACATGTCAGATATGTTGATATGCGTTGGAGATAAGTTCTTGATAAGTTACGCATAAGTTATGCACAATTACTCATAGGTTTTTAATAAGCTAGACTCCACACATTATGAGCAACTTACACTTAACTTGTGTCAACGATCAGATAACTTACCTGTAACTTATGGACCACGTATGAGCATACGCTGGCATCCGTCAAGACAACCAGTTTTGTTGTTCCTCAGCGTACGTGTGCTAGCGTCTTTCAGCGTGCTCATAATTTATACAAAACGTACCCATAACCACCTATATCAGCAGATTCTTCATACATCAGGCACACGCTGTCTAAATCATCAAGGTGTGACAGCAGCTTAAGGCTGTGAGGTCCATGTATGTTTTGGTAATTTGGTTTTCCCATCAGAAACCACCAGTAAGAAACAGAAATCTGGATATAGACATACGGAGTTAATATTTAGTTATCTTCTTATCTGAAAAATGAATAAAAGATCAAATACAAATACATTTGAAATGATAAAAAACACAAAATCATCTCTACCTGTGACATCACTACTCATATGGTAGAAGCTAGACGTTTATATATGTAGTAGTTAAAAAATAAATGTATGAAAACTCATCAAAATGTTAGATGTTTTTAGCAGAAAAGGTTCTCACTCATGTTTGTTTTGTGCGGAAGCTAAAGTCGTTGGAAAAACAGCGCCCACTACTGTCACAGCTGTGATGGTCATGGACAATCTTCTCATGTAATGTATAAGCAGGCCTTTTTTGTTTGTCTCTGTAAGTGATTGAGTTTTTTTTTTATAACCTTAAATATGGAAAAACAAATTTAATTAAAAAAATTAGATTCTACTCATTTATTTTAAAAATAAAAAAAGTAAAATTTGGTAATTCCAAACAAGTTAGGAAAAAAAAAACACGTTTTACTTCGTATCCAGGAAGATTTTTCAGTTCAAAATGTCTGGATTAGTGTTGAGTTCCAAGCTTTATAGAGTAGACCAAAAACAAAGCCTTGTTTTGGCTTAGAAAACATGCAAATTGAACCGAAAGAGCAGGTCCACCATTTTGTAATGGGGAGTAGTTAGGGGCATTGTTGGTCGGGCTCACTGAAGCGATGTTTTGATCTCCTGCCTGGCCATGAGGATTATGATGGCAGGAAGAAATCAACTCTATCGCAGAGTTGTAGGTTTATGAGAGCTTAGTCCACCCCCTCTGTTTAAGGTTGGTTTTTCTCTCTTAACATAAATGGCTTCCTTCACACCCCTTTCAAACCACCTGTCTTCTTTGTCCAAAATGTGAACATTTTTGGTCCTTAAGAAGTGGGCCAGCTTAGGTTAAACCTGCACACCAACAACAACCTTAATTACTCCTCATTCCTAAGGGGCGGACCTGTTCTCTCGGTTCAATATGCATGTTTTCTAAGCCATAACAAGGCTTTTGTTGTGCTACTTTATAAAGCTTGGAACTCAATGCGAATTCAGACATTTTTATTGAAAAAGTTCCATGGATGGATGACTGAGCATCCACCAGCAAAAATAGGCTAAGATTCTTTTGCTCAAATTCTTTTAAATGATCTAGTTTGTGCTCATCTGCTTTTGCCAGTTAATTTTAACTAAAGAGATTTGATTTATATGTAAAATAAAGAAGCTTTTATTCATAAAATTAGGAAGTTTTAACCTGATTTGATTGTTTCAATTAAAACATAAAATCTCTGAAACAATATATATATTTTTAAAGGCCATTTGGTGATATATCATAATAAAATCTGCTAAATAATGGCTTAAATAATGATCTTTCATATTTTGATATAAAAAAAGCAGACTAATCATTTATTTCTGTCTGCTTTGGAAATATGTTCACCTTAAATAAAACTTAATCTATTTTTTATGGGAAATTTGGATCTATTGGTTTGTTTTTATGAAAAAAATGGGCAAAATCATGGTCTCAGGCAAAAAGAATGACTAATTTTTGATATAAATAAGTCTTTGGTTGTCAACTTTATGTTTTTTATTAGTTAAATAAAATCCCCTTCAGGAATCCACCTGTGTTAATAAAGCTCAGAGAGGAACAGACTGTATTTAAGAAAAAAAATCAAATTTGCTTTTATTTGTTTCTGATAATAATCAAATGACCAAAGCATGCATGTACCTGCTAGCGCTGTATTTCTGTGCTTATAGGAGTTTTTTTTTTTTTTTTACTTCCGGTCCTTATGTGTTAAACCTGTTTTATTCTTCTGTATTTATTTTCTGTAGGACTAAAAACAACCACTGCTGTACTCCTCTCTGTTTTTAAACCGTATTGACTCAAAGTCCTGTAAACAAAGGCTTTTCTGTTTATTTATTTAAAAAAAAAAAGAGCCATTTTATTTGAACTACTGTGATGATCTGTTTTTTATAGATACAAAAAAAAAAAGGGAAAAAAAGCACTCACTGTAGCTTGCAACCTCATGTCTGAGAGCAGAATATGTGGTTTGGGAACATGTCACCAGTTGTTGTGTCCAAGTGTACAAAGATCTTTTCGCTATTTTTTTAAAAATCTGTGTGGACTTTTCTTTTTGTTGTTGGTTTCTGAGATATTTGAAAGACTGTATGTATGCGGGTGTGGAGGATCCATATTTACATGAAGCTTAACCAAACTTTTTTACTCTTCTGTGTTATTTGCCTTGGAGACCATCCTTTAAAGCTTTTTCTAAAAAGCTATTGTTCCTCTGATCATCCCTCCAAAAAAGGTGGGAAAATTAAAATACTCTTCATCCTCTAAGGCGGGTAAAAATAGTAATGTGTAGTAAAGCATTTTGAATACCCCAGGGGTCCGTTTCATGGAACAGATTTACCGAAAACTAGTTATCAAACTTGAAAACAGGGAAACTCTGACTTTTCTGTTTCACAAAGAGAATTTATTCAACCTCTGTTTAAGTAAGTAAGTAAACTTTATTTGTATAGCACTTTTCACAGACGAAGTCACAAAGTGCTTCACATGATAACATAAAAACAACACAAGTAAAAACAGATAAAATGCAATAAAAGCTATAATAAATAAGGGAATAAAACAACACGCTATGTGCTTTGGAAGGCTAGTGAAAACAGGTGGGTTTTTAGCTGCTTTTTAAAGATATCCACCGAGTCCAGAGAGCGCAGGGACAGGGGGAGTTCATTCCAAAGACGGGGTGCCACCGCTTTTTTCAGTCACCATAGTAACATTTTCCCAGAGCTAACCTGGTCCATAGCAGGTTTTCTAAAGTAAACTCAGAGTGTCCTCTGTCTCCGCTCTCCTTATAGCCTTTCATGCTGTTTTATTTCCCGATATAGTCAGATTTTTTTAATAGTTTTGTGCATAAAAAAAAAAAAAATATATATATATATATATATATATATATATATATCTCATTCACTAGATCCGTTAGACACATTACGTTTTAAAAACAAACATTGCATATCCATTTGACGAGGATCATATTAAAGAATGATCTGTAGTTTTTCACAGAGATTTCAATATTTACAGGGAGAGGATTCTACAACTCAGTTGACAGGGCATTAGATTATTTGTTTTTTTTTTTTGGTTTGTTTAATATGAGTGAGATGCAGATCATTTTATTTTATTTATTTATATTTAACTACTGAAATTATTTTCAGATTACACATAAATAGAATCATTAATTCTGTGGAGGAAAAGGAATAGGGTTAGGATTCACTTCATGATAACCTAATGAGCATACTGGCACAATCTGAAACCATTCTATGGCACTGATAGCCGCTAATAACAAGCATTTATTGGGATGATAACATCTGAAGAGGCTGCAAACTGCCACTTTAATGTGTAAAAAAAGACTGAATCAACATGAGGAGGGACGCATGACATGATCCACAGGTTCTATATATTTAGAATAACGTTTTTAGACTTCATTTTCAGCCGCTGACATGAGATTTCACGTAAATAGATTCGTTGATATACTAAAATTCAAGAAATAATCCTGTAATATTATTGCGGTCCCAACACTGTATAGCAAGCCGTTTTGATACAGTATGTACTAGTTTTACTGAATATGTATTCTGTAAAACTAGTACATGAATATGTATACT